GTAGAAGTAGAAGTAGAAGTAGAAGTAACAGTAGAAGTAGAAGTAATGGTAGAAGTAGAAGTAGAAGTAACGGTAGAAGTAGAAGTAGAAGTAGAAAGCTTTATGTCGGCAGCTAGAAAACGATCCATACACAAGTTTTTAGTAAATCTTGAATCCGATCTTGGCTCCAGGTGACAGTTTAGAAGACAGCAGCAGTTTTATGGTTTAATTGGATTAAACATTTTTCCAGCGATGATGTTTACAGATGAAAACATTTCGTGTTAAAAAGAACGAACTGTGTCACTGAGAGATTTCCAGGCTGAAGTTGATTTGATTGAAATCCATTAAACTGAAAAACAAATGTAAAACCTCAGTGTTCACTTAACCACTAATACTTTGTTTTATGGAAATCTTTCCTGAACGTACATTTTCACAGTTTAGTAAAATAATCCAAGCTGTTGAAGATATTAAAACCTCCACAGAGCTCTGAGTTCTTCATCACACACCAGAGAAGAAAGCCCGACTCGTTTGTTTGAATCATGTTTTTCTGATTACACATCGACATCACAGATCACGTCACTGAGCGACTTCCTGTGGCTCCGTCAGCGGGAAACGTTCAAGACTCAACCTCAGTGGAACTTTGAGGATTTTAAAGTGAAAACATTAAAACACAAAGAAAATGTTCCGAGCAAAAATGAGCAGCAGACGATATTTAAAAAACTTAAATCCGACTCTTCACATGTGTCGAAAAAGACAAAAGAAGAAAAGAAGAAGGGATGACGAAGAGGACGAGAGGTGAAAGAAAGACTAACCCTAAGAAGCAACGAGGGGATGAGAGGGAAGAAGTCTAAACCTAAACTAAACCTAATTCTAACTCCAGGTCTAACCCCCCCACACAGTCCTGAGTCTTTGAACAGAAGAACTGGGACAACACTGCTCCTGCTGAACACATCGTACAGGAGGAGGACACTTAGTTACTAAGTTATGAACTATCTGTTTTGTCCTCTGTCTGTCTCTCTGTCTCTCTCTGTCTCTGTCTGTCTGTCTTGACTGCAGAATAATGAAGTTTCTCTCAGAATCATGTCTTGGTCTCAGTTGCAGGACGGAGGATCTGATTGTGATTTAGACAGAGACAGAACCTCAGAGACAGAGACAAAGTCGTCTCTGGCAGGCCGGCTGGGGAAGTTTGTTTAAAGCTCGGATCTGTTCTACATTACATGAACTGTCTGGGACATGTTCCATTTAGTTTGACTCTTTCTTCTCGTCTGTCCCGATGCGTCTTCACAGATATTAGAGCAGCAGCTCTTCTTCTGTCAAGAAATAATCTTCTCTCATCCCATATTGTGACGTCTCATTTGAGATTTTATTCTTATAATTCATATTGTTCACAGTTTTTAAAATGCTGAAGTATTTTTAGGAGGAATAAATGTTGTTGGACTTACTTTCACTGCAGATATTCAATGATTAATGACACCAGCATTATATCCCATGATGCATCATTGTTACTAAGGTGTGGACATTACAAAATACAACACTGTCATCTAGAGGAAGGACACAGTAAATACATGCAGGGCTTTTATTGTGTTGCGTCACAAACACTAAGTTGTTGCTTCAAAATCTTTCTGGAATAAAACAGAGAAAGAGGCAGTTTGGTTTGAATGGATTTTTTAATGATATTAAAACAAGCTGAGAGATTATAATAATAATAACTTTATTTATACAGCACTTCTCCAACAAATAAAAAATTAAGCTAACATCAGTAAATAATCCAAATACTAAATGTAATCAATACAGTAACACAAACTCTAACCAGGTCAAATATGTGAATTCTGTTCAAAACAATGAAGTTTGAAGCTTTGATTTAAAGGAAGCTTGTGACTCAGTCTGCAGAGGGTGAGAATTAAACTCCGACTCCCAGCATGCCCCTGTTTCCAGACAACAACAGACGAGCAGAGGAGCAGCTGGTGGACGATGAGACAGTTTGAGCTCAGAGCTCGAACATGTCTTCACAGCAGGAAGTGGAGAGGATCTCCAAGAAGCTGGAGAAGATGGTGCACAAGAAGAAGACGGTGAGTGACACACTGGTACTGCAGGTTCACCTCGAAATACAGAGAAAATACACAGAAAACATACAGAAATACACAGAAAAATATACAGAAATACCCAGAAAACATACAGAAATACTCAAAAAATATACAGAAATACCCAGAAAACATACAGAAATACACAGAAAAATATACAGAAATACATAGAAAATACCCAGAAAACATGCAGACATACACAGAAAAACGTAGGAAACAGACAGAAATACACGGTGATGTGAGGAGCTGCATCTTTAACTGCTGACTGAAGAAATCTCTGGAAACACACGGAGCGTGTCCCCCCCTCTGCTCCGAGCTTTCCTGCTGCTGTTTGTGAGTTTAAGACTAAATGAGTTAAATCAGATCTGAGATCTGCTCATTCACAAACATGCAGCTGAGATCAATCCTCAGCTGATTGACCTCAGCTGCATGTGTCTGTAGATCGTGTCTGTAGATCTGTAGATTGTGTCTGTAGATTGTTCAGTGTATAAATGTAGTTGTGACCTGCTGAACAGCTTCATTGTGAAATGTGACATGATGTGTATGAGCTTCATGATCAACACATTGATTGTTAGACTGTATAAATTAAATGTTAACATGACGTCACATTCACACAAGTAAAACCAGAATCTCACTCTGACAGCTTGAGAATCTCTGGGATAAATGAAATGAAGCAAAACAAATCTGTGACACATTAACTGACTTCCTGTTAAAAACAGAATTTAGGAACAAGATGAAATTGAATTGAATGACTGGAGTTCCAGGTCTGAGTGAACTGCAGGTGCACAGTCAGACTGAATGTGCTCTGTCTCCAGGACGGTGCTCTGGACCTGCTGAGGGAGCTGACCAACATCAAGATGTCTCTGGACACCCTGCAGGTAATTAACTCCACCCCTCTGCCACGTCACCGTCACACAGATCAGGTTCCACTGATGACTCCAGTTCTAAAACTTCACTACTACTCACAATGTGGAGTAGTCCCCTCAGACCCATCACGATAGAAGGTACAGAATAGAACCTCCCAAACCTTTTCTGAAGAACTGACAGAATTACTGACATTTACTAAATCGTACATTTCTCAGCCTCTGAAACATTCAACTGAAACTTAAAGCGTCAAAGAGAGATCTTCTTCTTCTTCCTCTTCTTCTTCATTCATGTTCTTTATTTTCAGTGTTTTCATCGATGAAACTCTTCTGTAATCTGCTTCAGCATCTCTGTCCTCCCTCAGGCATCCAGCCAGAGTGCACACAAACTCCACTTCCCACAATGCATTTCACCTCTGTCCTTCTCTCCCTGTAGTCGACCAGAGTGGGGATGTCTGTGAACGCTGTGAGGAAACAGAGTTCAGATGAGGACGTTCAGACTGTCGCCAGAGGCCTCATCAAGTCCTGGAAGAAACTGCTAGGTGTGTGTGTGTGTGTGTGTGTGTGTGTG